GATACTAAAGTACTCTCCCATCTTTTCAGATTTGAGAAACTTTTATCTTTCTGCAAAATTTGATTCTTTTCATTTGTTCTGCCATACATCGAAACTTTTCCAATGTTTCAGAATTATACTTAAACCTGTAAGTATGTCACACCCCAAAACCGGAACGTCGGATACGTTCGGGGGTGGAGGACGTCATGAAGCTATTAACAACCATTTCATTAGAAAGAAAGTGTTTACAAAGTAAATAACCAAAAAGACATGAAGCTATTATGCTCCGTCTTCTGAATCCCAGTGCGCGTACCAGTATACTAGTTTCCTGAGAATACAAGTTATTTTGAAAGCGTAGATCAACATTTAAGCTGGTGAATTCATAAGATTTTAGTGATGTAAGTAAGTTGTAAGTTCTGTTTAGAAAAGTTTGTCTGTTCCTCCAGAAAATCTTATATTTCCTGATTTGATGAAAGATAAGTAAAAATGACTCTACAATCCTTTCTATGAGTACTAAATGGATACAGGTTATATAAAACCCAGAGTAAACAAACAATCGATTATGTGTATCTGCCTTAAGCCCATAACCAAACAAGGAATAGGGAATGAGGCGGATGGCACACATCCCATTGGTTGTTAGCTCTTCGTTGTATATAATCCTGGTGTATTTATTCACTTGGTACTCACAGAGTTAACTGTAATAGTTCCTGTGATTCGTTGTATATAATCTTGGTGTATTTATTTACTTGGTACTCACAGAGTTAACTGTAATAGTTCCTGTGACATCCCCAATTTTCAGAACTGAAAAAAAAATTCTTTACGCTTAATATCTTTTATTGCGTAAATTCCCAGTATATTAAAACAATTTGAGTACAAAATATTGTCTCAAAATAATACAACTGTAGGGATGTCATAACTGATACACAACATATGTTACAACGTAAAGACCTAGTAGTCCTGAACTCTATTGTAGGTTTTCTCTCAGCATCATACTCAAGTCTTCAGTAGTCTTACACTGCTACCTGTGATGCATATAAATTGAGTGGGTCAGGTTGGGAAACCTGGTGAGATACATAGGGTTTTCAATCCCACAATGTGATAATAATGTATATCTCAAACCTGCAAAACTACTATTATCATTAACACAAATATATCATATCTCTAAAACAATCTATCCCATCCCGTCGATCCCCATGTACTGATCCTATACAATGATCTTACGATATCAATATGAACAACAAATTGACGATGCTGCTTTGGAAATTCCCTGGCAGCAAACGAGGATCAATAAAGACATCAAATGATTGGAATGGAATAAGTTTCACCACGAACCTCCGTTTGTAAAAACCACAAGACAGTTAAGTCAATGATAGTTATCTAGATAACTGTGTCTAGCAGTGGTCTGACACCATGGGATATTTTACCCCCAGACTCACCCTATCCGGCAAACAACATAAGATATACCTGGTAGTGGTCTATTAATGACACACTTTATTAGGCAGTCTACGAAGTTCCCTCAATTACTTCGTGAAAGGAAATGCTGACACATGAAGCTCGTACAATCACTTCATAAAAGAAACGATGACTCCAAAAGCTCTTCAAAATAAAAGTATGGGGAAATACTAATAGAGTACTCCTGTACGCTCCCGTAACCGACACACAATAGTGTAAAAAAAAAAGACTTTGTACATGATAATACTTCTGGCATATTATAGTACCCAGGTATGAGTAAGACCCATACCCCATAACATAATAATACCTTGACACAAGCAACACCTAAGACACAGAGCTTTGAAAAAGACTTCGTACATAAAATGTACTTCTGTACGTAGGACGTACTCCATCGATCATCAATCTCAACACACACGTACTCTTAATAAGAGGCTACCCAATGTCCAAACTTAATTGAACTAAACATGCCCTTTTAAGTCTTATCCCATCACTAGGCAAAACTAAAATGCTTATAATCAATTTTTCAATACCATCTCCGTTTAGGCAATGCTAACTAGTGTATACTTAACACAGAGTTTTATGTATTAATTTAAGTTTTTTAGAAATAATACTTCTATTATTATTATTATTATCACGTAATAATATCATATATACTTCTTAACACATACAGAACCATAACTGGTTCGCACATCATTTATCATCAAATATATATCTAACACATATTTCAGGTAATAAGCATATAATTAACGTATAAACTTTCAACAAATATTTTATATTTTAATTAATACTTGTATTAAAATCATGTTCATGAAAGTAACTATGCACTTACCTGACTAGTTAGTGGAAACTAACTACTATCGTGACTCCAACCTCAACACTGCTTGCCAACTTATTATCTTGTCAAAACCTTATCCCAATATATGAACGTATTCTCGTAATTGGCGTCGTTACACACTTCCTTTATGCATGAATCACCGTTCGAACGTTCAAAATTTCAGTCGGAAAAATTTAGCACTCTAGGCTATTTATACTTATCTACGAAACATGCTAACTAGATGGGGAACCCCTGCGTTGCAGGGGTCGGATGCAACACACCTATTTAATATCAATATTAAGTGGTAATACATAAATACACGGGTTTGGTTAGATAAAACTTTGTTTGATGATTTCGCAAGCAATCCATTTCACATGGGCCAAACATTTCGTACGGGCTCATTACACATGACCCATTTCATATGTTTCCAAGTGCCTACCCTTCACACAAGCCCCACTACAAAAAATGGCAAAACGATATATTTTTTACCATTTCACATTACACATGGGCCATTTTATTTATTTATTTATTATAACATCCAACTTTCATTTCTTTCTATTACAACATTATACCTTTTAATTTCTTTCTAATTGAGTAAATGTTTTTTAAAAAATACTTAGAAAACAAATCTTGTTAGCACATGGTAGTTTGAAAATCTACTCAATCATGGCTACAATGTTGTAATATGGAGATATGAAAGTAAAATGCTATAATAGAGAAATAAAAAATATAAGTATATTGATATTTCTTGCATCAAAAGATTAAGAACCACAAGAGAAAATTATGTAATTCACCATTTTAAGGAGCGTTTTTTTTTTTTTGAAAAAGAATAGATTCACAGTTACCCAATATATATGTATCTACCTCTCAAGATTATCTAATACAGTTCATGGAAAGGTTCAACTTCCAATGCATGAGGTACAACTTACTATAACGGCAATGCTCTAGATTTTTACCAATTCTAATCCCCTAAAAAAAAAAGCAACTGTATTATTATAAGCCTCACTCCATGTATCTCATGGAAGTGTTGTATTGATCCTATTTAGCAAGTTCATCCCAAATATGGAATAAAAGGACAAATCGATCATTTTTTTTTGTTTTTTCCACAATAAATGGTATGAAAAATACTTAACGCTCATCGTGACCTTGTGGTTGTTCCATTTTCACTACTTCTAGTTTATCTTGTAGCTCCTGAAACATTCCATACAATCTTTCTTGGGTTATTCTTTTACAATGAGAAGGGCATTTTGTCTTTTCACAAATAAAATGATGAAAGACATGTGTACCTTGAGTCTTCGTTCTTAGCAAAGGGTTGGAGCAGTTAATAACGGTGAGTATCTGCAAATAAATATTTTATTCACAATTCACAATAAAAACAATGAAACAAATAATTTTTTTTTTTTTTTGGGGGGGGGGGGGGGGGGGGGGGCTTACTCGCAACGGGTAGGTTCATCTATATCGGCAACTTCAACTTTTGATCCACATCTTAATCTCACCTGGTGGGAAAATATGATATGTTGAAAGGGGCAATTTTTAAAATTTGTAATTAATTAAAAAAGATTAAAATATTGAGGTAGGTCAAGGTAAGCTTGTTTGAGGTCCATTTTAGCATTTGTCACCATTTGAGAAGAGCATGACTCTATATGACTCATCAAAACATTTGAGAAATTTAATATACAAGTTTCAGTGAAAATCAATAAATAAATAAAAAAAAACAAAAAAAACACATACCTTAAAGTAGTTGTGGTATGACCCTCCACTCGACTGACATCCTAAAAGGAACAAACTTTGTAAACATACCTGAAGTTGTTTAAAAAAAAATCCGAATTTAAACAAAGATAAATATAAGCTTTACAATAATAATAAAAAGAGTAAAGTTAATAACTTGTTCTCTTTGATCTCAAAACAGCGACCATATAATGAGTAAAACTCCTTCTTTGGTCCTGTAATGTCAAAGAAAGATAGAATGAAGCCTGCATGAATCAAGAAAGAAATTTGAAAGTCTGTATTACGAATCAGTGACCAATCAACCAATAGGAACCTGCAATGTAAAGTGATTTCCCGTTTGTTCTAAATGGTTAATTGGAGTCTAAACCCTATAAAATGAATAAAAAAAATTGAGAAACATACCAATTCCAGAGTCATAAGTTGCTTATAATCCGTTAACACTCGTCCTGTATTCGTGGTTCACCGTCTTGATCTCCACATCTGTTTATGACCATATGCAGGGGCATTTTTAACAAAAACTGTTAAAATCATTATTTTTTTTTATAAAAATAAAAGTATGTAGGGAAATAGAAAGAGACTAACTTGGTTTTAATATCTATAACTACCATTTCGTCAATAGAAATAGCCTTTTTTCGGATGTTCCTGCATTAAACATTTTTATAAAAAAAAAAACAAGTATTAGCCTTTTGTTGATAAAATTTTTATAATATACGAAAATGATGTCCCAGGAACTTCCAATCTGCCTGTAAGCAAAACATTCTAACGTGAACATCCCAAGAACTTCCAATCTTCCTGGATTGAGCCTAATAAAAGGAATGGAAGTCACTAATCTATAATTCATCAAAAATTACAAAGTGCAGATAACATATTTGATTCTAGAATCAACAAATACGCATATGAATGATTATGCTGATGGCATACCATGTATGTATGAGGTAATTTGATGTGCAAGAACCCAAATTTCCACATGCAGACAACAAAACCCAAGTAATTTCAGAATTTATACTTAGGGTTTACAACTTACCTGTCAAAAGCTTGTCCAGCAGAACGAAAGAGTTGAAGGAATTAGGGCTGAACAATACCGACACAACGACACAGGGCTGCTGGCTACCTGATGGTCGTACCTATTTAAACAACAAATGCATTTATACCACCGAAAGCAGTTCTTACACAAGGAAAGCGCACTTGGTCTGGATGATTCGTCTGCCGTAGTCAAGAAAAATAAAAGTTCATTCTAAAACCCAAAAGAATGACATTGTCGAAATTACAAAATTACCTTTTTAAGAGGAGTAAGTGACGAAAAGGTCTGAATAGGGTTCCGAATTGGGATAGAGTATTATAGACTTACAGAGTTTTAGTCATTGAAAGCAAGATCTTCTGAAGGGATTCCATCTGTTTTGTGAAGATGGTATTTTTAATGTTATCAAGGTTTTTTAAGGAACCATAGTTTTTGGGACTTTCGAGCAACTGATAAGAGGGTAAAAAAGGGAATAAAATCGATAAGAATTAATCAAGAGATTGAATCTATGTATGAATATATATATATATATATATATATATATATATATATATATATATATATATATATATATATATATATGAAATGTGAAGGACATGTAACCTTCCAATGATGGAAGAAGCATTTCTGAACTGTGATACTAATTGAGCATGAAGGTTGTCCCATTTATCCATGTCATCTTTCACCCTCTTGAATTTCTGCTGAAACTTTTTCACTGTTGCCTCCATTGTTAACCACAAATTCTTGCATTTATTGATATACACGATTAGAGTCTGTTGATGCTCATGTTATAAATTTACTTATTTATTTTGGGTTTACAATTTACTGTATTGTTAACCTATAAAATTTGGCAAACATGTCATAATCTTAACCCTAAGTATGAACATCTGGAAGAATTAGGGGTTCAGAACTCTATCAGGCATATACACAAACACATGGTATGGTGTCCACTCCGGAATGAAAAGTTAAAGCCTTATGAACACAAAGCACACCGATGTGGATCATCAAAACCCAAAAAGAACATATTCATCATAAATCAGTACAGTCAATAGCAATAAATTGAATAAAAACATGCCCAGATTAAGCAATGAAACCAGGGATCGAAATTCGAACAGTGTGCCTACGTAGGTGGATAAAGAACATGACAATTGGGATATGATGCATGTAAGGGATTAAGAACTGAGACATCATGCTTCAATCAGATTGTTAAAATTAAAAACCAAACTTCGAAATTATACCATTTCTTTTAACAGTGCAAACCCACGGTGGCAGCGTTTGAGAAGCAGGCGAAAAGGGGTTAGAAGCTCCAGTTGGCGGTGACTGCTGGGTTGCTGTCGGTGGCACAAATCAGGAGTCAGCCCCGTTGTGAGAACCTAAATCGCATCCCGGTCGATGGCCATCTGCATCGTGACCACTTCAACCTTTAGGATGCGTCAATTTCATACATCGATGGTGGAAGTGTCGAATTCACATACCGACTGTGGAAGCATCAAAGAAATTTGAGGATTTGAAGAGCTCAACGGAACGTATCCGATCCCAGTCCCGTCGTGAGAACCTAAATCGGAGTCCGGTCGATGGTCATCTGCGTCGTCCCGTCTGTAGCTTGGTGAAATCCGAATATGAGTGGCGAGAAAGCGGTGGGGGAAGATAAGGCAGATGCGGTGGGGGGAGATGCGAGAATGACACGTAAATACCCACCGGAACTCCAAAACACCACAACTGAAGTGAGAGGAGGCAGTGGAGGTCAGAATGGAACCAGGGAGAACACACCTGTGGCCATTAATTGAAGGCACCGTAGTGGAAGGAGCAAAATCGAAGGCACCGTAGTAGAAGGAGAAAAATCGATCGGTGGGGTGGGCGTGGTTTTAGGGCTTCTAGACGATTTTGATGGGAGAAGAAAAGGTTGGATAAGAACAAAGAAACTTAAGGACCGATATTCCTTACCATGGTCGAGGAGCGAACCCGATGAACAGTACCCTAGTTAGAACTTTGGTTAAGGACTATTCCTAAGAAGTGCCCCCTTTAATATATATATATATATATATATATATATATATATATATATATATATATATATATATATATATATATGTGTGTGTCAACTGATTTAATTGCTTAATATTAAAAATTATAATAAGAATTTGCGCTCTTAAAAAATTTCACTGCATTCCCTCTAGTAAAAGAATAATTTATTTGATTTCAAAATATGATCGAGAGAATCGTATTTATACTGCAAGTTATCAAGATATTCGTACATTTGTACATGGTTAGTCATTCTCAATAACCAACATGTATACCCAATAATCAATTCAATTTGTACTATATTCTTTAAATGTTCAACACGTGTACTTTTTATATGAATCATCATATTAGATAATTTTCTTTTATGCAAAATACAAATTTAATTCTTATCTATAAAAATATCCTGCCCATGCATGGTACGTTTGATGTCTATCTCCATCGCTATAACATAATTTATTATTATTATTATTATTATTATTATTATTATTATTATTATTCATAAACATATAAAAACATATGAATTTATAACAAATAAATTTGTTTCCTTCTTTGTATTTTAAACCAATACTAATTGAACTTAAATATAAGATCACTTAAATGTAATATCTTATCGATTTTTTACCATCCATTATAATTACAAGCTCAACTTAGATATGAGATCTCATCACTTTTTACCATGTATTATAATTACTAGCTACGAATAATATACACGTAATTTACATGGTAATGAATTCGGAATCGTTTAATATATAATAGTTATTATTTTACGAACTATGTAAATTCGATAATCGATAACTAACATCGTAAAATGTACTTAGGCAATTATCATCGAAAAACGGATGTAATACAAAAATATTTCACTACTTGAGTTCACATTTGAATGTATTTAGACCAAATACATCTTATAACATACAATTTGAGCTTTTAGGTTTGTTACAACTTTCGTTAAGATTATTTATTTTAAATTATCTTTTTATTTTAAACGTTTATTTTATCGGTTCAATGATAAATTTTATAATAAAATTTTTTACAAATATTATATACTTATAATATTTGGTTACATAACATGCATATATTAAATACATATTTATATAACCGGTAACACATATAATGAATAATTATCCTATGAGGATTTTAATTATTCAATAAAAAATATTTATTTTTAATATTATTTTAATATCTAACCTAACTTACGGGTGTTACAGTTCCTTTATATTTGATAAAAAGATTCTTTAAGAAAACCTTTATTTCTTTTACTAAAAATTGATAACCACAATGGTTCCTTCTATAATCTCTTAGTTTATACTAGCTATATATAATCTAATATCGAACAGATAGTTAATTGTGTGAATCTGTCCTAAACCCACAACCAAACACAGAACAGGAAATGAGACGGAAAGCACACATCTAACTATCTATCGGGTATTAATTATATATAACCCTGATGTATAAACTAAGGTATTACAGAATTAACCACATAAGGTCCTTTAAGTTGTTCTCGTTTAATAAAATGGATTAAACTCTTTACTGGTAAGTTTCTAGTTTTGTATACCAAATTTTCTATTTGAAAAGTATGTTTTGTACTAGAAAAATGTGCATTGAATTAGTGTCCTATGACCTGACCCATACCTGGTACCTCTTGTGATTACTTGGTGTATACGGAACATATATATATATATATATATATATATATATATATATATATATATATATATATATATATATAGCTAAGATTGGATAGATAAAAGGCTGGGTGAATCTACTCTAAGCCCACAACCAAACAAGGAACAAGAAATGAAGTAGAAAGTACACATCCTACTACCTGTCGGATCTGATTAATATATATCCCTGATGTGTACACTAAGGAATCATAAAGTTAGTATTATACGTCCCTTTCTACTGAATGTACTAGACTCGACTATTCTGTTTGTCATTTGAAAAGATGTAAGTTTTCCCTAGTTTATAACTATCTTAACTCGAAAATAGTTTGCATTAACTTTCAAGTGGAACTGTCACAATATGAAAGTAATGGGAAAATGTAAGTACTTATTTGTCTTTTGAGTTAACATTCTGACGTACTGATTACCTTAAAACAAGTTTGTTTTATTAAGGTCATAATGTGATGAGTAGTACCCATACTATACGCTCTCCCTGCAAGAGATTATGGGGACCAAACACGACTTCTACAAACAAATTGCTAAGCCGTGTAAATTGACATTAAAGTTATATGATCATGTATACCCATTTTACTACCACCTTTTGTTTAGAACAATGAGTTAGTGATTATTGGCATAATTAGATCATGCATTGTTCTCCTGCTATAACATTTAGCATGTTCTTTCTGTTATAGTATCTTAGTATGTTCCTTCTGTTATCGTGTATTGTATCTACCTCCCTGTTTCTCTTTATAGTATGTTCTAGTATTTAGTATGAACTGAACCCCTAAACTATACCTATTATAGTTTACTAGTATGTTTACTTGAACTGTTATTGAAAAGACCCATTTATATACTATGTTATGATTGTACTTTAAAAACGGAGTTTTATAAACTATAAATTAACATAACTTAAAAAGAGTTTTTGAAATGTTTTGATCACTTATAAAAACATAAGCAATTCTTTGAAAGATGTTTATACCAAAAATTTACACAATTATCATTGTGTTCAACTTGTATTCCCCCCTTAAAAGCATTTAAAATAGTTTAAAAGATTGATTATAAGGGTATGGACTCACCTTATGTGGGTGATTCAAACAAATATGCGCGTAAGGATGAGAAGTTCCATGAATGAAATCCCGAGACACAAACGAGTCCTAAATGACATATAAGGACATATATTGGCATGAATATAGTGTTTAGAAGAAACCAAATGCAAGGAAACACCTTTAGGGACTAGGAAACAATTGGACCAAGTGTTAGATCGTGATTCATCTAAAGGGAGTGTACGACCACAATGAGGAGTGTGCAGCCATGGGTGTACAACCAGAGAGTGTATGGCTGTACACTCATGGTAACAAGTTCACAAATGTGTGTTTGAATGGTGGGGAAGCTTGTGGGACTATTGCTCATCAAGTCTTGAAGCTAGATTTGCATTTTGAAGGCCCTTTAGGGGTGTTTTGAAGGGTGTACGACCACACATGGGTGTACGACCGTACACACCTTATGATCTTGAGTTTTAGCCATTTTTAGGGTGTTAATCAAGTGTTCCTAACATGTACTAAGCATAGGGAAGGAGTACTTACGATTTGGAGGCTCCAAAGGGTTCACAATCACCAAGAACAAGTGTGTGTTCTTGCTGAAATGGATGAAGATTTGAAGATCTACCCAAAAGATGATTTGCAATGGATGAAATCAAAGGGTGTTACTAGGTTAAGAAGAATAAAACAAATCAAAACGGAAGAAAGGCTTACATTCTTGAAGATCGGGGTGAAAAGGTTGATGATAGTTGAGAGAAAACTCAAGTTCTTGGCTTGGAAACTGAAGAAATGACTTAGGAATGAAATGATATCACTTATGTGGAGGGGTTGTACGGCCACACACACATGTGTACGGACATACAATCATGTGTACGACTGTACACTCCTTCACATGGAGTGTTTGACTCGATTTCAACGCGAAGAACTTACGTAACTCGATCCTATACCCAATACTTGAATGTAGTGAGCTTTGAACCATTAAACAGACTCTAAACAAGGCTAAAAGATAGTAGAAACGAGTCTGACACACTGTTGGATTGAATGGCTGAACTTACAAGGCAAAGATTTTCGGGTTGTCACAAAGTATAACCATATTTACTAAACTTTCGTAAATCATGAAGAATAGTCTTATAGATCTTTTGTGTTGGACTTGACCAATGCACAAGAATGTGTACTCGATCCTTTAGTCCTTCACTTGACTCACATATACATGTGAACAAGGAATTAGTCTTAATTTTCCAAAGATGAAAATTCTCAGTCATCATACTATGGAACTTGCATGATTCCAAGTTTCGGTCTAATTGAAACTTCGCTGTTAAGAATCTTTCCTTTTTGGTAAATTTAGACACTACCACAAATGAAAGAATCAAATCCATATTTCCATTATTGCTAGAAACATACAAAAATAAATTTTCCATAAATTCCATTGCAAGGAGATATAAAATAAAGTAAAACAAAATTTTATTTATTTATAAAATGCAGAAAAACTTTTCCTTAAAATGCAACTATAAATGAAAACTATGCTACTACATATTTCCTAACAATCTATCATAACTCCTAAGTAGCAGCTCAAGGATCCGATCTTTGAACCAAGCGATTGAAATCCATTTTCACGATCAGATTCAGCATACTCTTCCTTTAAGTTTCCTTCCTTTTGCTTGAGCAAACATCAAAATGTAACCGAGTCACATTTTGTATTAAGAATCATCAATTAGGAACTTAACATAGTTAGATAGTGGACTTACCTGAAGTAGAGTCAAACTTTTTGATTCTTCCTTCTCTCAGATCCTTCAGGTAGTTAGGGCAGCTTCGCTTCCAATGTCCCTTCTCTCGACAATAAAGACATACAAACTTATCCTTTCTCTTTAATTTTTGGTCACCCGGGTTGAGCAAAGCCGATTCCTTTCAATTGGGAAGAGAAAGCTTTTTTGGACTTCCAATGTTACCATTTTCAATGTCCATGGAAGTTTGAGAAATAGATCTTCTACCAATATTTTCTTGACCAGTCCGCCAAATCATTTCTGATTCAGCAGCAACAAGCAAATAGGTAAGATCAATGAGGGTCATGTCGTGATTTGTCACATAGTAGCTCTTAATGAACTCACTATGCGACTCCGGAAGTGACTGAAGAACCCAGTCAATAGCCAACTTCCTTGGAACAACGATACCCAACATTCTCAACCTGTCAATGTGTGACTTCATTCCCAAGACATGAGTGCACACAGGTCTTCCATCTTTATGTCTCATTGTAAGCAGGGCTTCAGTAAGCATGAAATTTTCAAGTCTTCGAGCTTATAGGTCAGGGAGAATAATTGGAGGAGGTGGAGGAAGAGAAGTATGATTTCCATGAACTAATCATGAGAAATCATCTTCATTAGGAAAGCTTGTTCCAAGAGATTTGGGAAGATCATTGTTGTCTAAACCAAACATCTACAATGTGAGAAATTCAAGTTAGTTGATTTAAGTCCTTAATAGAACACCCAACATGAAATATTAAGGCTAGGACCCAACACAATATTTTATAACTTGGAAGAGGGATGCCGTAATCCAAGATATAT